GGGGGGGGTCAGCAAGAAAAAACAATAGAAATTCCTGGAAATCCAATTTCTTTTTAGTAAAATGACCGTTAATTGCGGACGTCATAAGTGAACGATCCCTGAATTCAGTTATCGAGAAATTTGAAAGATATATTATCGATTGACAACTGATTTTAATTAAGAATATGATAAAAACCCCCAAAAAACCAGATTCACGATAAAACTCACAAAGATAATAAACATTTCAAACAAACCAATTTCAATTCCAATTCATCTCCTTTTAATGTCCACAATAGATCAATATATGCCCTACAAATGCATTAATTCTGTCAGTCGTATAGTTTATGTTATTAATATCAAAGCAGGACATCGCATATCAGAATCAAAATTGTTGTACCAAAGCATACGACAATGATGAATTCAACATAAAGGAACGATGCACAATAAGCTTTTGATGTTGATCAGCTCGGAAAAAATGGAAAAATATCGTTGACTTGATACGGGCGGGAAAATATGCGCTAGAAAATTGCATTATAAGTTTCCTGTTGTCTATTGTCTGGTTTTTTTTTTTGGATTGTTTATAACACAGGTTGTTTGCTGAATGTCTTTATGGATGAAAAATATAATTTTTCGAGGACAGTGAGTTTGGGTTTATGGAAATTTTACTTGTTTTGGAGAAAGTGATTTGAATTTTAATTTGTAATGTCAATTTTTATAGTTTTGGTGCAAATTTAATAGTTTTTGAGGTTAAATTTTAAGTTTTTAAGTCTAAATTTCCAGGTTTGAGGTTACTTGCTTACTTCGATGACCTTACATATCAATTGTTATCTATGGCCTCCCTCAGATGCCGCCTAAAACTAGCTTTATCACTGGCTACTGCTTGCCAATTTCCTATGCCAAATGCAACTCTGTCCTCGAGGATTGAGGTTAGCTTTCTAGTTTTTATCACAAATTTTCAGCACAGGGTTTTGGATTATTTGCATTCAGAGTTGCGATCTTTCAAAAGCAATACCTGTGACAGACGGATATTTTTGCAGGTAGTTGCGTGTTGACATGAAAAATCAGGTGACAAATCTGTCGTCTTTACCTGTCACCTGTTTCGCAACTCTATTCACATTCATAATAAAACTTACAAATCAGCTTACTAATTGACTATACTCTCTGAATTAGTATATTGCCGACTTTAATATCCTTCACAGTAATGCTTATAGCAACTTAATATTAATTTATTCATATAAAAATTTCCCATTCAATTAAATTTTCGTTACTTTCTTGCAAATAAAATCTAAAAACTACGCACAATAAATCTACATTCGCACAAAGTGCATATGATGCATGCTGCAGAAAATAAATGAGACTTAAAACAGTGCCATAAATCTAAATTAATATTCATGTAAGATACACACTCCATAAAGCTCCATAAAAGTAGCAAAAGGAAAATTAATAAAAATGCCATAAAATTTTCATTTAAATTGTTTATTTTTTATTGCTGTTCTATATAAGCCAATAAGACTACATCTCTCATAGTTTCATTTATTCTTGTCGGATTTATTTTCATATTCATATTTTTTGTGTGCCTTAATAGGTTCATTAAATTACAGTTTATGCATTTCAAAAATTAGTTTTAGAGTAACATTGAATGCAAATGGGTTTTGTGCTTTGTCAGAATACATGAGGTGCTTAATTGCTTCTAGTTTTATGCTAATTTAATACTTACAAAGAATTGTGATGTGCAATTATTTGCGTTTGATTTAAATCCTTAATAAATGGTACAATAGATTCTATCTTTGTTCAGGGTCATAGTGCTTCCAGATCCACCGTGCAGCCTCATAAATTACTTCCTTACTAAATTGAAAGTAAATTTGAGGATATCAAGGAGAAATAAATACTCTGTAGCTAGTCTAGAATCAGAGCAGTAGCCAGAACTACCCCAAACCCCATCCTGGCTTCGACCCAGTTTAGCTGTTTAAAAAGCTAGTCTAATAGCTGATCTAGTAGCTTATACACTATTATCTTGTCTAGTATTGTGTCAAAGTTTAGACCAAAAATCAGTCAATTTCACAATCCTTTCCAAACTCATCCTGCAAATTTACTGAAAATTCCAAAAACTCCATTTCAAAACCTTTATGAAATTCCATTATTTATAGCCACATAAAGGTACAATTTAAGGACAAGAATAAATCAGCAGCAATAATACAAACTTATGACACAATAACAAAGAAAATAACTTTTTCCGTTCATTTCCTTTTTTTATGGTCATTACAAGCATGACTAAATCACACAAAAAAATACATTACAGAATTTCCGATATCAAATGGAAGCAAGGAAAAGGACATGAAAAGGAAAGTAAATAGCAACAGCCGTAAAGATAGCAACCGAAAAGAAAATTAAAATCTGATTAAGACTTTTGCAAAAATGGATGGAATGTAAGAAATGATTTGTTGGCATTAAGGGTTTGCGGAATGGTTCTAGGACTGAATGAGACGGTATTTCAATCACTAGGTTCATTTTGGTGAAGTTGTCTGCCTCTTGAGATTCAAAATAAGTTCACTTTTTTTTCTAAGCAATAAGTACTGATTCTTATTGAAAATATAGAGGTTTGATTAGGTGACTAGTTTTTTTGTTGAAAAATTAGAGGACCTGAAAGGAAAATAAAGGACATCCCACGTGTTTACCAATTTTATCCGTTTTCTCGACGAATCAGAACAAAACAAGACTTTTTAATTCTTAAAATTAAAAAAAATGGAAGAATGTCCTCTGAAAAACCAAGCAGATGGTCAGCCTAGGTTTAAACCTTCTCTACTGGCAGCACCTCTGTCTATCCTTCTTCCAAAACTTTTCATAAAGTTGCCTTTTCTCATTTAAAATTGTTCTAGCTTCCTTCTTAGAAAGACCTTTGCACGTAATGACGTGTGTGGGTGTCAATATAAATTTGTACAATAGAAAATCTAATTTAGTGAATATATTTTAAGGTTTAAAATTAGAAAAACATAAAAGTGGGTGCTTATTTAATTAAGGATTTATTTTATACTGTTCAGATATTCATAGAATTAATAATGACTGTTTCCTAATCGATTTATCCAAAAATAAAATTAATAAAATTCTCAAGAAAATTCAATAAAATCATCTTTATTCATCCTTATCTTTCCATATTCCAATTCTAATTCAAAAGCATTTCTGTTGAAATGTAAATAAAATCAAGATTTAAATTGTATTTATTTTCATCTCCAATTAAACTTAAAATGCGGGCAATTTTCTAAAGCATTTAGAATCTCGAGAATGCAAAAACTTTCTCCATCTCACATCTCCTATTTTAATCGAGATCTTATGAGTATCAATTACACTTTGAGAACATTAAACGCAATAATGTGGGTTGTGTGTGAAGTGTTATCGAAAACAATTAATAAGTGTATTGCAATATGTTTGGAGCAATATATATTTGTGTGTTATATTCATTGTTATTAATAGGACTGATATTGAACATTGTTGCTGATTTTGTACTAGAAGAAAAGGACTGATTAAGTTTGTATGTAGTACTGGCTGGCTGACTGGCTTCTATAGCAGTTTTAGTAGCAAGTAGTGATTAGATATGAAAAAAACCTTAAATACGCTCTTGGTCAAGTAGTATGACTAGTTTGAACCTATAGTTCATTAGTATCTATAATACCCGAATAGCACAAGTCGGTTTTTCTATCAGAAATTCGGCACCAAGCTGGTGATTGACTCTGGCATAGTGCTGTATGTACCATGCCAGAGTAACACCAGTTTGGCACTGAATTTCTATTCGATTAGCTGGCTTGTGCATATTCGGGATTCATTTGTTTATACAAGCGTTCAAATACGTTTATTCCTCAAAATTGGCAATGCTATGGTCTACTTGACATAACCTCGTTGCAAAAATCTAAAGTAATGACTAAATAACACACCAGAGTTCAAATTTTACTGATCCAACACCTAAAGACTCCCAACAGCTCTAAAAAAACTCTTGATTTTTTTTAAATTTATGCTAAATATCCCTTCAGGCTAGTAACAAGCCAACAATACTATAATTATTCACTTAGTCTACTAAAGAAAGTTAATCACCGAGTGTAAAATTTCAATTTCCTGCACAAAACGAAAGAAAAGTGGAAAATGTTTCCTCATTTTTTACATGTGACGAAAAATGGAAGGGATGGAAAAATGTGAATAATTACTTTACATAATTATGATGTGATGACTTTGCATAAAATTTCTCTTTTTCTATGCTGCATGCTTCAACACTGTGTTGAAAGCAAAATTACAGTTATTGTGGACTGGAGGTAATCAAATGAATGAGGTATTAAGTCACATAAGTCACAATGGTTTAATTAAATTCAGATGGAAATGTTTAAAGATTTGAAATTAGTTTTTTAAGGACTGGTGAAGGAGAAGATAAGGGAGCACTTCTGTTAGGGATTTTGAAAAATGATGAAATATTTAAATGAGAATTTCTGTTATGTAAAATATGGACTGGGAAGTTTTGGAGAGTTCAGCTTTATTCTTTTTTGATTCGTTGATTTTTTGGCAAAATTAAGTTTCAAAACAATTATTTTTTTGTAACTTTGCAATAAATATCCTCAAATAACCCCAAAAAATCATAAAAATATCTTCAAAAATCCTCAAATATCCTTTACTTTCAAACGAATCCTAAAATCTTAGAATTTCCCTAAAAACTTATGACGTCCAAAATTGACGGTCATTTTTATTTTCTTGCTGACCCGCAACCTGGATGTCTCAAGTAAACGGCCCTTAATCAAAATAAGCTTTAATGAACACAAAAGTGACATTCATTTAAAATTCAACAAAAGCTTTTTATTAAAATGCTAAGCCGTATCAAAACAAAACAACTCAATAAAAACATCACAAACAGCATTTCATTATTTCTATTCAATTTCAGCCCAGAATACAAAACTTTTTGATAAAAAAAATTCAGCAAAACAATTTCTATTGCGCTCAAAAAATTTCATTCCAATTTTTTTTCTCTTTTTCTATACACAAAATAGGAGGTAATTTACACCATCTGCCACCCCCACGGACAAGTGTTACGTATTGTGATATTTAAGAAAAATGGCGTTCAAGCAATGGTTGAATTTGACTCAATTGATTCAGCAACACGTGCACGTGACAATCTAAATGGATGCGACATTTATTCGTCTTGTTGCACACTCAAAATTGACTTCGCAAAGGTGAGTTACAAAATTTTTTTTTTGTTCATTTTATTTCGTTTCAATTCGCTGTATGCATTCTTTATGAGGAAAACACCTGCTGATTCTGAACGACGGATGACACAGCGCTACGCGTCAGAAGAAATATTGATAGCTGACATCGTTGTTATAAAATACTGGGCACACACAGTCGGAGAAGAAAAAAAGTATATAAAAAGAGACACAAATGGGAAAAAGAAAATGAACAGTTTTTGATATTTTTAGTGTCAGTTATTGGTCAATAGGTGTGAACATGTGGTGAATGTTTGATGAGACTACTAGATTGAAAATGTCTTCATGTCTTACCTACTTACTTTCTTGGCTGGAGCGCATGTGGGCCCACTGTTGTGCTTAGAGAACGTCTAAAGTCAGCTCTATCCTTCAACACCTTCTGCCAGTTCGGGATATTCAGGACACCAGCGCCCTTTTCAACACAACCAATCCAAGAGTTCTTCCGTCTTACTCTTGCTCTCTTTCCATCCATAAAGTCTGCTAGTGTCACTCTCAGTACTGAGGCATTCTGTATCCTTCATGTCTTATTTGGCATCAATCAGCTTAGTCCAGTAGTGAAAAACGTTTTTTGTGCTATGGCGAATCTTGATGATAAGCTATGACCGAAAAGGCATACGGTTCGTTGGATTTCTCAAGTGTGCTGCGGCACATGGGTTGATCAACACTGGTTTATTGAGTTAAAATTAGAGTTAAGTGTCTTTATGGTCTTGAGAGTAACTCAGAGAGCTTTGGGGCTCTAAATTTCTCTTTCTATAGAATCTTACCCGTTTTAATAAAATTATAAAGTTTTATTCCTTTAAACTGCCTGAGATTAATTTAGGTTAGGGATAAGTTTAATACTCTGGGTAGCTGAGGGAGTCCTAAAACCGACCTCTGTTGAATGTTTCCAAAGAAGTCTAATCAAAGCTTACTTCAGACTCAACTTTAGTTCAATACAGAGCTCGAAGTCGACTCGGAGTTGACTCCATTGACTGCATTTCATTGATTTTACAATTTTAAGAGGGCTAGCGCCAGTGGCTATTACAACTTAATCATAGATTTGGAATAATTCATTGATGATGATCGATGCGTTGACATCCAAAATTATTTGATTGTTTTTGTCCTCAACGGACAATTGGTTTTTGACTTTTTACATACAGATTTTGTCCTCAACGGACGATTATGTATTTCCAACTCTGCACAATTGCATTGACCCAGGGTATATCAATGCAAAAAAACCCAGCCACAGTTTGCACGTCTCAAATCATACAAACCGAGTTTTCATTACCGAAAAAATGAAGTCGGACTCGAACATAATCGATTTCGAGCTCTGGTTCGAAGCTTATTGCACCTAGCCGACTTAAAGCAAACCTTAAAGTTTTAAATGCTCTTGACATCAAATAATAATAAGAAACCAGAACAGCTTTCAAACTACATTAGGACAATGACCCTTAATCAAGCCTTGATCACACATATTTGATAAAAATCCATTCTTAATTCGTGCTTAAAAAGGTGGAAAGAGGAGAAATTGAAAAAAATAAGTTCAATAAGCAATTAAATCTGAAATAATTTGAAAATTTTTTCTTCATTTTTTATGTTTAAAACTTTTTGAGTGACGTGAATCAGCAAGAAATGTGAACAAAAAAAAAATCTGACATTTTCTCTCCGTTTTTTTCCTCTCAACATTTCTGGTTCAAAATTTTTACTCAGTTTTGCCGCTCAAACGCTGCTAAATTTATCTATGTTGTGCTTGTATACTCACATATTTATAAACTTTTTCTATCAATTGAGGAAGAATGAGGAAAAACTCGTTAAAAAATTTCCTCAATTTTCGAATATCAACAAGAAAATTGATTGCTGATTTGTGCCTATAGTGATTGTAAAACCACAACAAGCACATAATTGACGTTTCTGATATTTATTGTCGCTACTCATTTTGAATTTTTTCAACCCTGCTTCATGAATTGGAATGTTTTTTTTTTATTTTGAAATATTATAAAATGGATGAGAATTAGGAATGTCTGTCGCATGCCAATTTTAATTCGAATTAACAGTTCGTGTCACTTTTGAATTAACATTTTCGTGCTAATAAATTCATTATTATAATTTTCTTCTTAAAATTTTTATTCATTGGGAATTTGTTTTGATATTTTTAGATTCTCTGAATTTTAATTGAAATACTATTAAAGTTAACAGGCTTCGTTGGGCGGGCCATGTTGTTAAAAGACCTATTGAAGCTCCCATTAATAAAATTCTTAAGTCTTTTTATCGGACGTCCCAAAAACTCTTGGAGAGAAGCTGTTGACAGAGACAGTTTTACACTTGGTATGGGTAATTGGCAAACGAAAGCCTGCGATAGTGCCAGCTTCAGGCGCTATCTAAGGAAAGTCATGGATCAAAATTGATCTATTCGGCCAGAGAACTAAGTAAAATAATGTCGTTAAGCCTTGTTGGAGCTTCGATGAATGTTCGATGACTAATTTACTGATTTACACATTTTTGTTAATAAAACTGATAGATTGTCCAAATTATTTATGAATAGCCTAGTTTTGAGTATCTCAACTCCAACTTCCTCGCCAGACTCTGCACCTGGTCCGAACTGTTTATTCGAAGTGCACATCTTTGCAAGTTTTGACTAGATGACTGCTTAACATTGTGTGACGAATTGAAACTAGTTTCTGAAAGAATATCAATACATATGTATGAAAGGAAACTCGAATGTTAAGCTTTCAATTAATTAATTTATTTGATATATGTGATGATACAAATTTTGAAATAATTAGTAGACTTATTCGTCTCAAAAAAGGTCTGCTTTGCAGGCAGGTCTATAATTGAATGAGCGAAGCAGATTAAGGGGAATGAAAATACAATATATTTGAAAGTAAAAAGTACGTTAGATTTGAATAGGAAATTTCCGTTACAAAAAAGGGAGTTATAAAATGAAATGAATTAATTCATTTGTTGCACTCAGCGACAAAGTGGGGGGGACCGAAGCTTAATTTTTGCCATTGTTGACCGTATCGACATTGGATAACTTCCTTATCCTTGTCCATCAAAAACATTGATTGTTTGTCAGCAGGAACCAGTTCCTTAGAAATTGCCATTTCTATCATCTTCCGAGCAGTGTCTGTGGAATAAGAGATATTACATTCACCTTTCTTACGCAATCCTTCAATGACCTTCTTGAATTTGCTTGAGTCTTTATCGTTAAGGAATTGTAGGTACATAGTCGAAGATTCTTCCTTTTGGATGAATAAAATCCACACATGTTGTCGTACAAAACATAAGCATCGTTTTTGGAATTCAGTGAAGGGATAGTAACCGAACATTTTAAGAATGATGAACTCAGTGCGGTCCCTTTTAGCCTTGGCTTTCTTTGCTGGAGGTTCGAGGTTTAATTTTACGGTAGGATGGTTTTGGATGTCTTTGCTGGGATCATTGCGAGCATCGAGTGGCTCAACCAGTGACTTTGAACAACACGGTTCGTCCTCGATAAATTGTTCATCGGCAGTTAAAGTCAGTACGACTGAATCATCATCGTTAGATTCAATACAGGATGCAGGTAATTCCACATTTGCTTCAGCTGGAGCGGATGATGCATCTTCATCAGACTGTTCCTTGTCGTGACTAATGGGATGAACAATTTGACCTTGCTGGATCTTTTGAAAGAATGTAATAGTGATATTCTTAAGATCAGGTTTCGGAGCGACATACTTGGCATTCAGCCAATTAGCTTGAATAACCTTTTCCGTGAGTATGGCTTTGCGATGAGAGTTGATTAAGTAAGCGTCGGCGTCATGAAGCAAGATAGTAGCCGAGTCACTGAGATTAGTGTCTAATACTCCATCGTTCACACTGTAGCTGATTCCAGCAAGCCTGATTAATTCCTGTCGATTAGCGACTGCTAAGAATCCAAATGTGCGAGTCATAACTCTTTCATTCTCAACGCACCATCTAAATCCACATACATTGGTAACAGCTTCAAACGTTTTGAGCAAATCGGCTACGTACATGGATGTATGTCCAGTCATTCGAGGTAAGTTAAAAAGCGACAAAGGCATAGGTACTTGCTGGATTTCCTGAACATCAATCGACTCAATAGACTGTCTAAAATATGCGCTTCCTAACGTGACATTGGGGAACGAAACATGAATTCCCTTTCGCAGAGTGAAATTCCGATAAGTAGACACGACGCGTTTGTACTCCTCAGGGTCAAGGAGAAAAACGAAGACAGAATCCAGGTTTTTGTTTGCAGCATAATCACGTACTCGAAAAATACCAATGATGGAAGTTAATTCAGGCTCGATTGCCTTAATGACTTCACTACATTTCATTGTAGCTGCAATTCCCTCGATTGAGATTGCTTTGGTAGTGGAAGGAATCTTTGAAAATGTTCTTTTCATGTTTAATTTATTAGATCTCGATTGATCAATTTTATCATTTTTATTAATATCCTTGAAGTTGGCTTCAGTGCGCACACTATTTGAGAGTTCAATTTTTGAACTTGGTATAGGATTCAAATTTGAAGAATCCGTTGAGATACTAAATATCATACCCACATGGAAATTAGACACTGAAGCGTCGCAGGTTGCCTCTTCGTTCAAGCTTTTGCTCACATCAAGTCTGGCTAGATTCCTGATAGCTCTGCTTTTCTTAATTTTGCCATTCGCCATCTTCACGTCAGCTACCCGTGCAGTCCCATCTTTGCCTGCATGGATTTTTACGATTTTAGCTCGCTGCCACTCTCGACGAGTTTTATTTGGTTCAATGACTAATACTAGGTCACCTACTTTCGGTAATGGCTCAGATGTGTGCCACTTAGTACGCTTTGTTAAAATTGGCAGGTAATGGGCAGTAAATTTTCGCAATAGCTCATCGGCAACAATTCTTCCACGTCTATAAATGGATCTGTCAGGAATAGTGGAATAAATATTTTTATGGATTCCAGGTAAGAGTGGCCATCCGCTTTTGTTCTTTACCAGATGATGCGG